TGAACATGCATATAGAAAAAAAAAAAAAAAAGAACAACAGATAAATAATCCGATAGATATGAACTATTTGAGATAGATAGATAGATAGATAGATAGATAGATAGATAGATAGATAGATATGAACTATTTGAGATAGATAGATAGATAGATAGATAGATAGATAGATAGATAGATAGATAGATATGAACTATTTGAGATAGATAGATAGATAGATAGATATGATAGATAGATAGATAGATAGATGATAGATATGAACTATTTGAGATAGATGGATAGATGATAGATAGATATGAACTATTTGAGATAGATAGATGAATATTTGAGATAGATAGATAGATAGATAGATAGATAGATGAACTATTTGATAGATAGATAGATAGATAGATAGATAGATATGAACTATTTGATTTGGAGATAGATGAACTATTTGATGGATAGATAGATAGATAGATATGAACTATTTGAGATAGATAGATAGATAGATAGATAGATATAGATGAGATAGATAGATAGATAGATAGATATGAACTATTTGATAGATATGAACTATTTGAGATAGATAGATGGATAGATAGATAGATAGATAGAACTATTATTTGATAGTTAGATCATTTGAGATAGATAGATAGATAGATAGATATGAACTATTTGAGATAGATAGATAGATAGATAGATAGATAGATAGATATGAACTATTTGAGATAGATAGATAGATAGATAGATAGATAGATAGATATGAACTATTTGAGATAGATAGATAGATAGATAGATAGATATAAACTATTTGAGGTAGATCAGATAGATAGATAGATAGATAGATAGATATAACTGAATTATTTGATAGATAGATAGATAGATATGATGATAGATAGATAGATAGATAGATAGATAGATAGATAGATAGATAGATAGATAGATAGATATTAACTAATTGAGATAGCTAACTAGGTAGATAGATAGGCAGATAGATAGGCAGATATGAATAGACTAAAATAGATGTGAATAGACTGAGATTTGAACAGAATGTGATAGTAAATGATTTTACGTAATTATAAGATGTGTCAAATTCTACTTCGCGTTTCTCTGAGTTTTGCTGTCCATTTTACTCTGAATTTCCTATGAATTTCCTAGATTTTGGTATGAATTTTACTATGAAATTTACATAGTACAGATTAGTATTTACCACCCTAAGATTTTTTTGTACATTTTTATTGAAGTTATAAGCTGTCCCCTTTTCTCAGTTCTACAAATTTTGAGAAAAACTTAGGAGTGTTGTGATTTAGTGAGTAACACACGTGTTTAGGGGAGGACAAATTATATTTTTAAGAAATCTAAAGTAAGTGACAATGTTCAATCCTGGCATGCAGTTTGTCAGACATTTTGAAATTAAATTGAGTAAATTCAGAGTAAAATGAACATGAGAGGGTTTCATCGTAGAAGTTGGAAAAGCATTGAAAATTAAGGTTTCGGGTGCTGCCTTGGATGGCCTTTGAACAAGTTCTGATTCTGCAGCTCGCGTTGGGCAACGTCTTGGACTGTCGTCTCAGTAACGTACCGGGATTGAATACTGTTATTTTTTTTTTTTTTTTTTTTTTCTTTTAATATTCTTTCAGTCCTTCCACTTGGTTTTGTGCATCTGTGTCGCCCATACATTTCTTGGGGGGGGGTGGAGGCAGAGCTGAGAGGTGTGGACGGCTTATACCTGGAATGAAGAAAGAAACATAAAGTTCTGGATTCTGGTCTGTATCATGTGGAATTCATAGTGAACTTCATGTTCAAATTTATTTCTGCTCTTTTTACCTGAAGATAATAAGATGTACCGTGACTTATACAAGGGTAAAACTGAATAATAAGGATAAATAAGTGAAGCAATTTACATGCATAGATATGCCTCTCCCTAAATACCACTACCGAGAGACACAAGGTGCTAGAAGAAGAAAAAAATTAGTGTTTCTGACTAAGAAAATTCTGGTTGCAATCAAATATTAAAGAATCTAAATTTTTTTCAATGCCAGCTCAATATCAAAATAAGCACCCACCCACACACCCACAGCTCTAGAAATTTAAATAAATTTTATTATTGAGTATTTGTTTCCTTTCTAGTTGAAAAAAAACGAATTACAAAGATCCTCGTAATACGAAGTCTCACAAAATATTTTGTCTTTGTTCTTTATAACACCACAGAAAAAAGCGTTAGTATGACAGAAAGACAGAAAGTGCATACTTAATGAAAGAGTCACATATTTACATTGTTTTATGAATGCGCGTAATTTTTCAGCAGTCAGCATGTCACCAATCAGCAAAAGAGAGATGTTTTATAACTCCTACTAATATTTTTTTTAGCATAACTCCGTTCGTATGATTTAACTTGTATATAATTTACTTTAAAATCGCGAAGCAAAAGCATTAGTATAACAGAAAGACAGAAAGTGCATGCCTAATGAAAGAGTCACATATTTACATTGTTTTATGAATGCGCATAATTTTCCAGCAGTCAGCATGTCACCAATCAGAAAATGTAGGATGTGTTATAACTACTACTAATATTTTTCTTAGCATAACTCCGTTCGTATGTTTTAACTTGTACATAATTTACTTTAAAATCGCGAAGCTATTGCAAGAAGTTATTCGACGTTGAGTAATTAATTATACGAAAGATTAGAGTTATCACAGCCACAACGAACCCTGGGCAAAGTTTACAGAAAAACTGAAAACTAAACTTTCTGAATTTACGCCATCGTATTCATAGAAAATAGATGAATCATAGAAGCTAAAAGTTAGATTTACTAATCTCAGAAGTTTATTGGCTAATAGACATTTTCCCAATTTCTAAATATCTATTTTTAGGAGGGAAAATATTGTTTATCATCTTCTAGAGTGATCTCTCAAATTTCGTAGCAGATAACAAAGATGATTCTTGCGAGTGAGGTGAGTTGTTAGCAACTCTGTAGGATGAAAAATAACACGTAACAAAGGGCGGAAGAGGTGGTGTCTCAATAAATTACCGTGGGGAAGGCAAAAGGGGAAACCACTCCACTACCAATCCCAAGAAATATCATGGCATTTAACAAATAAAATATGGAATCTAACGGCATGAATGGGATTAAGTCTACTGTAATTAATTCCTCGACCGTTAAGGAACGATATGTGCTACAGATGTCACCTAACCGTAAGCCAACGGTTATTAGTATAAACGGCATAATGTAGGCCAAACTGATTGGAATTGACCCCACACCCGGTAAGGGAAGATATGAACGACAAGTGTCACTGCACCGTCATCCAGCGACTGTTTACATCAAACAAAATATAATTCTTGGGACATAGAATGTTAGAACATTAAACCCCTATGGACAGATAGAAAAATATAAAGCAAGAAATGGACAGGTTAATTATCAATATTTTAGGCGAATACCAAACCCGGTGTGCAAACAATGGAGATTTTGTCAGGGACAAACACAGGATCACACACGCAGGCGGAGAGAAAAATGAAAGAGGAGTAGGATTGATACTAGACAAAGACATGAGAAAATACGTTCTGGGATACTTTCAATTATTTGAAAGAATGCGGTTAAACTGAATGGAAAGTTTTTCAACATATTCATCGTCGTTGTGTAAACAGCAACAGCACAAAGTACAGAAAAAATAGAAAAGTTCTAGTCTACGCTAGACAGCGCCAATGTTTATGCACATGGCAAGAAATTATAATTGTTATGGGAGACCTGAACGCCAAAGTAAGCAACGAGAAGAATGGTAAAACAGTTGGCAAATTCGAACCAGGAATCCATAATGAACGCGATGGAAAATGGATCCAATGGCATACAGCTAATTGACCAGGAAATAGCCAACACCTGGTTTCAAGAACACCCAAGACAAATATGCTCAAGAGGAGAAATTTAAAAACATATCCAAGTGCAGACTGTGGAAGTGACCATTCGCCTGTGATATGTAAACTACAGATACTGAAAGGGACTAAGGCAGCACCCAAGTTACAATACGACAGACTCTTGGACGATCCAAATATGAATTTAAAATATATGGACAGTGTGAAAAAAAAGATACTTGGGACAAAATGAAAATGGACCCTCGGAGAGGGACACTTTAAGAGAAGCGTTAGTAACATCGGCAATCATGAGCACCTCAAAGTAAATTAGACGAAGAAAAAAAATGAATGAATGATAGTCGAAATTCTCCACATGATGTAAAAGAGACAAAATCTATGCCAATAGACAGAACAGAATATAGGACACTACACAAAAAATAAGGAAAAAATGCAAACAAGCTATAGCGGAATGGCTCAACGAAAAATGAGAAGAAATAGAAAGAATGAGTATCACAAGTAAAGCAGATATGCATAAAAAAATAAGATGACAAAAGGTTCATCAAGAGGATGCATAGAGTCCAAGGACGGAACTCTGTTATTAGAAAAAGAAAAAATACTACAGAGATGGAACAAGTATATTGGAGAATTCTTTCACGGTAAATAACAAAATCTGAAGTGGAATCTGTACTGAGCAAATAGAACAGAAACAATGTGGCAGGGCCAGACGGAATTGAAATAGCAGCCTTAGACGATTTCGGCATGGACAATATCATAGAAATAACAAACGAAATGTACAACAGTGGTGATATACCGGAATACCTAAAGAGATCTATTTTCATAGCGCTGCATAAGAAGCCAGGTACACAGGAATGTGAATTCCTTCGGACAATCGACTAAACATCAACTGCAAGAAGACAGTTAGCAAACGGGTGAGCCCAAAGTGCGAATTGAAAATTGTAGATACCAAAATCAAACAAGTGCGGAAATTTAAATATCTGTTTAGTGCTTTAACAGAGGGCGGAAAGCGTGACACTGAAATCCGAAGGAGTATTCGGATAGCCAAGGTATCTTTCCAAAAGCTAAGCAGAATACTAAGAAATAGAAAAATACCGCTAGAAACAAGGAAAAAATGTACTAAACTGTTACGTGATATAGATATAAAGATAGATAATGAACATAGTTAAATATAAATAGATCGAGATAGATAGATAGATAGATAGATAGATAGATAGATAGATAGATAGAAACACACTGAGATAGGTACGCACATCCTACATAGATATAAAGATAGATAATGAACATAGTTAAATATAAATAGATCGAATAGATAGATCAAAATAAGATAGATAGATAGATAGATAGATAGATAGATAGATAGATAGATAGATATGAAGAGAAATAGAAGATTCCAAAATAGATTTTGCACGAAATTTAAATAATCGATCGACCCAGCTACACCTAGAATTTACACACGTGGGAGAAACCAGGTGACAGATATGTAAGCATCCATTTGGGAAAGAAAAAAAAGATAATTAGATAAGAACACACTGAGATAGATACAAACATTCTCAGATAGATAGATAGATAGATAGATAGATAGATAATAAAAAGTCTGAGATAGATAGATAGATAGATAGATAGATAGATAGATAGATAGATAGATAAGAACACACTGAAATAGATACGAGCATACTAGTTTTGAAAATCGATGCAGGAAAACTATTTCAATAATGGTCTTGACTGAAATCTTTTAAAGCAGACATTACATTCTATTTTTCCAAGTAATAAGGATTCTAAGGCTATTAATACGTCTGTTTGTTTCATTCTATGTTCTATAGAATTCTGCTTGGTTTATTATAGTTTCTTATTGGTCTTTGATCTTGAGCCAATGTCTGTTTCTTTGACTTTGGGAAAGAATGTGATGTTTAGAAATATGAAATATCACAGCCTGTTTAAGGTATTTCGAAGACATTTTTTTTTCAAATAAATAATACTATGTTATATTTTATATAATCTTTGATGCCATGGGAATACCTATAACATATCTCACATCACCAAGTCAGTTTCTATTCATAACATTTAATTTTGATAATGCTGAACGCCTAAGTTGGCTGTGAAGTTTAAAAGCGTCTCCTCCCCCACCCCGTGATGCGAACATTCCAGACTGTGGTCTTTCATCGTCATCGTTGTTCGACAGCCTCTCGTAAACTTTCCAGCGACCAGTCAATGATTACCTCACGCTGTGTTTCAATCCTCGATCTCGTCAGTGTGCATCGAAAGCTGGGAAAGGGCACGATGCATGCTCACATGGTAGCAGGATGAAAGACGAATGCCATATCGAGAAAATAAGAACGCGAACCCTGTTCTCAATATTACACGTAATTGTTTTATTCACGGATTTTTCCTGCTCGTCTGTGTGGGCGGGTAGGTAGGCGATCCTTGGGACAATTTCTGCTATGTCATCTCTTTCGCCCTACCAACTTCTCGCCCATCTACTCATCCCGACTTGGTGACTGGTAATAAAAATGGAGGCTACGGAACCGTGTGATGGACACGTCCGTCTCCCAGTTACGGCAGACCAGAACTCTACCCCGATCCCAAGCATGATTGTTAATATAGACCAGCACCCGGATATGCCCTATTTCCGTTTTTGTTTCCACTTGATCTCAGAAAAAAAAAGAAACCTATTCACTCCTTTACTTCCCATCTCCCATTCAGTTGAAGTGGATGCCACTTAGAAGACCGAACTTTAAAAGGAATTATCTGCTGGTCTATCAAACAGAAACACTTGAGATTGAGATAGAAAAAAAACAAACTTCCGCCTTCTATGTGAGTGTCCATAGTATCAAATCAAGAGACTATGGATTTACTGATTTGCATATATCGTAGGTAAAGATAAAACCATATACAGATAAAACAGAACCACAAAAAGAAAGAAATAAATAATAGTCAAAATAGTCAAGAAATTATTCAGTTTCAATATTAGTTCGTATACTTTACTTTTCATACCATGTCAATTTTGAATCCAAAAAGATTTGGAATTACCTATATGGGCTAAATAAATATAAAAGATTCATTTATTGTAGTGGAGGCCTCTCAAAGCATAAGAATCTTTAATATACGCCAAGATAAAAACTATCCTAAAATTTAATATTTTATTGTCCTTTTCAAAGAAAACCACAGTCCCAGACTAACAAGTGTTAAAAAAAATCATTTTGCCCAATATCAAATAATGGAAATTGAGTTATCAAGGATTCAAAATATTAAAACGAATTTGAAGCCTGTTTAATTATCTCAATATTAATACAAAATGGAGGCTTTGGAACTGCAACAAATTTTACCAAATTATCCTAGAATTTAATTGCCATAGGGCTTTTCAAAGGTCCCAGACTAACAAGTGTTAAAGGGTTTTACCATATAGGTAGAAATTTTAGGTTGTTACTGGGGATAAGCTAGGTGTTACTGGGGATAACTTCTGCTACGTCAGCTCTTCCCCACTACCAACTTCTTGCCCATCTAATCATCCAATATGGTAGCTGGTAATACAAAAATGGAGGTTTTGGAATTGCAACACAGACACCTCTGTTTACCGCCAACGGCAGACAAGCACACTCTCTCCAATCCCAAGCGTGAGTTAATATAAACCTACACCCGGATATAACCTATTTCCGGTTTTGTTTCCACTTGATCTCAGAAAAAAAAAATATTCACTCCTTTACTTCCCATCCCCTCTTCAATCAAAGTGGGTGCCACTTAGAAGAGAGAACTTCAAAAGGAATTATCTCCTGGTTCATCAAACAGAAACACTTGAGATTGAGATAAAATAAACACCTCTTCCCCCTTCTATGTGGGTGTTCATAATGTTATAGTTGTCATCACAACGTTTTGGACGTAGTGCCTTTCATCAGGTGTATGTCAATCCGGGTAACCTACAGCGAATTCTGGATTGAACCCTTTATTCAATCTAACGGGTAGATTGTTCTCGTTCCACAGCCCATCTATAGGAATATCTTGTCTCGTTCTTAGTATTGCTCAGTTATTGTCGGCCAAGGGATTGAACTCACAATTACTATGGTATAGGCAGGACGACACGATGGCTGAAATGTTGTGACAACAACAGAAATGAGAACAATAGTCCGCATATAAATATTGTAAATAATAATGAAAATTCCTCATCTCAGAAACTTAAACAGAAACTCATGATACGTTTAGAAAGTATAATATCTGAAGTAAGTGACAGATAAAAATCAATATAGATCAATATTGTCATCAGTAGAACTACGTTTTTCCGACAAATGTCTGACAATTTTTTTGTGGAAAGGTTGTCAGTGATTAAAAAGTTGTTTTTTTTATACTCGCTATTTTTTTTTATCTATCTATCAAACTAAAAATAAAGAGGAGGTTGGGATTCACTTTCAAGCTGTTAAAGTAAACATAAATAAATATGTTCAATCCTTACTGGGTGATCGATATACGTGACCTTATGCCAAATTTAAGCTGAGGATATTAAATGGCAAGGGATCCTCGACTTGGAATCAGGTTTCGTAAACTAATCTCGGGTGTTATTACAATGTAGTGAGTTCGACTACCACTGGGTGTCCCATACTTGTGTCAGTGCGTTAAACTAAGTTAAGCTTTGTAAATGACAATGTGATACATTTTTGCTTACATACTGGGGAAATTATATATACGCATAACAAATTATGCACACACTCACACATACACATACACGCACACGCAACCCCCCCATATATATATATATATATATATATATATATATATATATATATATATATATATATTACCAAATAACCAAAGTTATTAATCAACTAAAAAACCAACTGGCATAAACACGTGCACTCTCAACTATAAATGTGAATGCCCAAACTATTACAAAATAGCTTTTATACTTAATAAATCGTGCAAATGCAAATGCTTCAACAAGAATGATTTTCTATACTGAATTAAAAAATATTAATCAACCCTCATTATTAATGACTTTCCTAATTACATCGTTGATGAAAAAATTAGACGAATTATTGGTGACATTAACAATATTAAAAATGAATATGTCATTAAATAACTCTAAACATATCAAGCTATTATATCGTAATCAAATGCATTATGACTAAAGGGTGTTTCATTAAGACGGATCAAAGTCAGCAGTAAATAAATTAGTGTTATTGGTGAAAATTTATTTCTATATTGGATCATGTTATTTAAGACATGGTAATTATGTATAAAAAACAACATCGCCCAAATGTCGGCCAAGTCTTCGGCGCCACACCTCCACTCGATGGTTAAAATTTTTGATGACGTTTCTGCATAGTTGCTCCTCGATCTCACCAAAATGCCTTATTATCTCATCCTTCAGCTGTTGAATTGTTGTTGGCTTGTTAGTATAGACCTTACTTTTGAGATGACCCCAAAGGAAGAAATCTAAAGGCGTCAAGTCGCACGATCTTGGTGGCCAATTGACTTCGCTGTTTCGAAAGATGATGCGACCTGGGAACTTCTCATTCAAATTCTGTTTGAACGTCTACTTTCCTAATAGGCTTCGATAACTTTAACACGTTGTTTGATTGTTAATCTTTCCATGGTTGAAATTGGCAAAAACTTAAGTTGTTAAATCTGAAAGAAAAAGAAAAAAAATCATTAGACCCTTAATTAAACTTAAACTTAATTCACATTTAAAACCAGCCCAAGTTATTAGAACACACTTTATAAGCTGGGGGAAAATTTTAAAAAGACTAATAAATACTAATATATCCCCCACTGATCTAAGCAAAAAAAATAATTGATTATATACTATACTAAATTTAATATAACCAACCTAGTCATCCATAACAACTATTCTCCGTCAACTAGCGTCTTACAAAAGACCAACATCGTCTACTAATTTAAATGACCTTTGGAAGATTGCATCTCTGATGAAAATGTTAATACGTATGTTGGTGTTGCAACAACGACGATGACGAGAAGGCTTACATTTTACTTGAACGAAAATAGTTCAATCTCAGAACACATAAAAGAATAATCATGTCCACATGCACAGTTTAGACAGATATTAGTCGAAAATACATCAGTACTTCATCAAGATAATCATAAAAAAACTTAAAATTCTGGAAGCTTTTTATATAAGAGAATTGCGAACAAAAATAAATAAATTCAACTAAAAGTATAGAACCAAAGTTATTAAATGTTTGTAGTACCAAAATGACATATAAAAAAAATACTAAATTAAAATACTATAGTTAAAAAAATCTTTTAAAATAATCACATAAGTTACCGCCCTTGCATAGTGGTGAAAAATATTTTGAATGTACGGTGTTTATGCATAACACATCCATAGATATGTAAGTTCTGAAGATGGTATCAGATGAGATTGAAGGTACTTGGTAAAATGAAAATTATTTGAAAGAAAATTTTGTAATTTTCTTGATCATTTTTCTACAGCCACCAAGATATTAATTAGTGGAATTAAAACTAAAATGAATAGGCATAATACGTCTAAATTATTTAACCAAACATGCTTAAATTAAAGTATGCTGCATACACACACGCACAAACACACACACACACACACACACACACACACATATATATATATATATATATATATATATATATATATATATATATATATATATATATAATAAATATTAAAATGAA